AACTAATAAAGATGAGAACAAAGCCTTTGAGTGGTATCTGAAATCAGCGGAGGGTGGAAATACGAAAGGACAATATAATCTTGGTATATGTTATAAATATGGAAGGGGAACTAATAAAGATGAGAACAAAGCCTTTGAGTGGTATCTGAAATCAGCAGAAGGTGGAAATGCGTGTGGACAATGCAATCTTGGCATATGTTATGAACAGGGAAAAGGCACCATTAGGAATCAAATCAAAGCCTTTGAGTGGTATCTGAAATCAGCGGAGCGTGGAAATACGAATGGACAATGTAATCTTGGCGTATGTTATCAATATGGTAAAGGAACTAATAAAGATGAGAACGAAGCCTTTGAGTGGTATCTGAAATCAGCGGAAGGTGGAAATATATATGGACAATATAATCTTGGTCTATGTTATGAATATGGAATAGGAACTAATAAGGATAAGAATGAAGCCTTTAAGTGGTATCTGAAATCAGCAGAGGGTGGAGGTGCACTTAAATAATATAAACTTGTTATTAATATGGAAGAGGAACTAATAAGGATGGGAACAAAGCTCTTAAACGGTATCTGAAATCAGCAGAGGGTGGCAATGCATGTGGACAATTTAAATTTAATCTTGATGCGTTATGATATGGAAGGAGCTAACAAAAGTCTGTATTATTTGATCCTTGCAAAGAATGGTACCCAACACGATATACGTTTTGGCTCAATATTCCGTATATCGATATTTACGTTTGTAAATTACCCGATGATCCCACGAAGCCTTAAAATCTATTAATGGACATAGATATATGATAATTTCATTTTGTGTCGAATGTGTCAAGTATATTTTTATACAGTTTTTCAAACCGAAGTTGGTTCCAGTAAGTTGTAGTAAACCCAAACCCCCCCCCCCCCGATAAACCGAATTTGCTAAATAAACCTAATTTGTTAAATGAATCAAATTTTCCTATTAATACTTTGGTTTATTGAGGTTTGATAATTATTACCTTGCTTTTTCTCTAATATATGTATTCATTTTTTTAGCCATTTAGCGGGTAAAACAATAAAGTATATCATTGAATCACACTTCAAGTATAAAAGTATATATTAATTAATCGTGTTTAGCTTTTTTTGATGCCCTGGTGCCGCGTGTACCTCTTGCTCGTGTACCGCCACCTCTAGATCCACGTCCCGTCCCACGTCTAGTATTAGATACAACAGTAGACATAGATGAAGCAGCTAACGATGGTGATTGTCGGTTGCGAGTTGGACAGTTAGGTGCTAAATGTCCCGGCTAAAAAAACGTAATTAATATAACTACGAGCAATAATATTATTTCAAAATAAACCTAACTACCTCTTTACATATATAACACGTATAAAAAGAGAGATCGCGTGAATAGGTCCGAGTTGTGCCGTTGGTGCTCTGAGAAATCAATTGTTCGTTAATACAAAAAGTACATTAACAAAAATTCAACAAATAATAATGAAAATCGGACATTATTTGTTTGGATAGAGGAACCTTCCCCAAATGTATTTGACGAAGAGGTACATTCGCTTGCCCAATGCCCAATCTTTAAAAAGAAAATTGTATTCGATTAATTGAAATTATAAAAAACTTGGGAGATATAACTAACTTGTTTACACTTGAAACATGTAGAATTTTCGTGTGAGTTGGACCTGGTAGTAGAACCGCGTGTGTTATTTGATTGGATCGTGTTATTGTTGCCAAAGTTGTTATTATTGTTGGTGGCTGTAAAAGCGTTATTAGAATTATCTCTGTCTAGGAAATTTTGGGTTGGTACTGTCGACTATATTATTATACATGAAAAATAAATTTACAAATCAATAAACGCACAATATATTTAATAATAATTTGAAATCATAAACTAATGAAATGTCGTACATTCGAATTATTGCTATTATTTGATGGCGGCATCTATTATGACAGAGACATTTGTTAGAAACAGAATTAGAAGTATTTAGGTTTCTCACCTACCCTTCGTCTATCAATTTTCCGGGCACCAAGGTAATATGAACCGTCAGGTTGTAATGTCTTTGGCGGTCCTAAATGACGCATAAACGCCTATATGAAAGCACGCAGCCTGAATGAGTTAATAACAGATCGATAATTAATATAAAGGATTTATAATATGTACCTGTACGATTTTGTCTTCTTCCTGAAGAGTTAAATCATACATATTTCTATATTTTTGTACATAGGTTCTAGCCACATCATCTTTAGTCTTTTGATTTTGACAGATCATCTGTAACTCCCTTTCCAACTAATAATAAATTCAAGAGTTATTTAAAATTAAAAAATGATAATAATTAAAAGCCAAAAGATTAACAAATTGGTCTTACATTACGCCTTAGAAAGGGTTTAGACAATGAGTATTCAAACCCGATTTCTCGGTATCCATGTACAAGAGCCAAACCCAGATCTGACGGATAAATATATTCTTTTTGGCCTTGGCGTTCTTTGGCAGCGTAATTTCTTACAAAAATTTTTGAAATATGTTCTGGGATTGTGGCGTCGGTCCCTTTATTGATATATATATATATAAGTACATAAAATTCAGCGAGAGAAATTTGGGAAATGTTGTATAAGAATAAGTCGCATGGGACTAACCGATTTCATTTTCATAAAGACATGCAATCAAATCTGGCTCAGTTAATAGTTCGGGAGGCGAGGTTTTTCCTTCCTTTTTTTCTATTAACGGATTTTTATAAACTTGACCTTCACGAAAATCAGGTATATCACGCGCACCCCACTTCTCATAAGGATATACCTCGAGATAATTTCGTTCAAGAATAACCAAGCCTAATAATAAATAAATATCAATAATTTATTCAATTAATGTATAATAAAAAGAATACAAAAATTAACAATTTGTCACAAATAAATACCTTTAGCACGAAATGTTTCTTCCTCCACCATAATCTCCACTGTCGTCTCTTGTCCTTTTGCATCTTCAGCACATGAAGCCAAGAAATATCGTACAATAAAATTAAACAAATCTCGTTCTTCTCTGCGGTCGAGATAAGTATCGGGATATTTTATGGGATGAATGGGAGGATGTGCGCCATCGTTCTTTGATCCATTTCGAGGGGGGGAGAACTTGTCAACTAATAATCTAATAGATATAATAATTAAAAAATATAATTGCTTAAAAAATCATTTGTCTGAGTTTTTTTTACCCATCAGCAAATGGAATCCAATCAACAGCTGTTCTCAGGTTTGCATCATTAGGTCTATTATTGAGTGCAGCTTCGGAGCCTCCCTTAAGAGTGGCTATTATTCCCTTGAAATCAGTACTGGGTGGAAATTGGTCTGTATCTGTTCGAGGATACGTGATAAACCCGAGTTGATACAAGCGTTCCGCAGCCTAATTTAATATATTTATCATTAGATAGTATAATAAAGTCAAAAATTCTCATATATTACTCACAATCATTGTTGCATCAGAATTAATTCGAAGAACCTTAGATGCAAGTTTCAAAAGTTCTACAGTTGTCAGAGGACGAGGCTTCCTATCAAAAGAGACCGATTCGCATTAATTAACTAATAAAATTAATTCAAACAAATTATTAATGCCATTTTGATAGAAACCTCTAATATTATTTGTGAAACCTTTGTGTTTATTTTATTTTTCTTACCATTTAGATTTTGGAACCGAATTGACTTTTGTAACGATCGCATCATGATCAGCAAGTTTAATCATAAAGATTTCAACAAACAATTCTTCAAAACAGCTAAACTCTGTTTTCTCTCTTTGATCAATCGGAGTTTCTTGTAATTGCTCTTCTTTTGGAAACTGCTCGCGCACCCATCGAAAAGTTACTTCTTTTTCGTCGTCTTGCTTGATAGTGACTTCTATATACCAGAACTTTTCAACCGTGAAATTCTCTCTCTGCTCCCATCTGTCTACTACGAAACCAAGAGTTGGTATTTGGCAAGGACCTTTTTCGGATTTGGAATTTTTGTTCATTAGCGGAAAAAAAATAGAAAACTAAATTAGAGTTGAATTTGTTTCTCACCAAAGCTGATGATTTTATTGTTTTCTATGCCTGGAAATTCGCCTTGAAACCCTAAAGTCTGATATCTAGTGAATGCAGCACCGATACGCAGATCAAGCTCCATTCGTGCTTCTACAGCATCTGATTGATTCATATCAAGTTGTTCAAGTGAGGAGTTTACCGAAGTCCACCATGCTTGTAGAATTGCACTTCATTGATATAATAAATAAATCAGCCTATAAAATGCATTATTTGTAAGAATGAGATAAAGAACATTACCGCGATTCAATGGCAGAAAATCGTGCTCTTTTTACAATAATCCGTGAATTTCTTTGTCTACATACTTCCACCACCTCCTTCCCGATATTTTCACCTTCTCGATCACAATCAGTCCAAATCATGACACACTCAACATTGTAAGATCGATTCTTCAGGTTCTGAGCAACATCTGTCATGTTCTTTTAAGAAAATATTACATCAAATGAAAGACATTCAATGATTTCCTTTCTAAAGCAAAGTAAGCACATACTTGTGAAATAGTATTCTGGATGGGAGCGTCAAACAGACTTATAGGATTACACTCCTGCCAGTTATATCCTTCTACAAAGTCAATTTCCGTTAGGTGACCCAATACCGCTGTTATAGTCACTTCATTAAGAAAACCAGTGTTATCTTGGAATGAAAAGGTATAATTTTTGATGTATTTATTCGCTGATTGTTCCTATTACATTTCAGAATTTAAATATGCTTCAAGTTTAAGTTATTCGAATTTAACAAAAGTACTTGTATCTTCTTACTGTTCGTGGTGAGGTGTGTGCAAGGCCTTGGGCCAAGATTTGTGCTAGAGATTTGGAAACTGAAGGTTTTTCGGCAACGCATAAATATTTCATTTTTGGAATTTAAAAACAATTATTATTTAGAATACATTGGTTTGAAAGACGCGTTTGAAACGCGGCATATTAAGCATTGTAGTTTTACAAATCACGTGTTGTTTATCTATTTTTCGTTTTCTTTACGCCCAATAGTATGAACTCGGAATCCAATTTTCTGTAATTTATCAGCATCCAAAATTAGACGACCGTCAAAAATGAATGCTGGTTTCTTCATGTTTTTGTAAATACGCGTATAATCTAGCTCCTGAGTGATGGAATATATTATTTTCATTTTTAATTTTTGATGAATTAATTGATTCATGTAATATATATAAAAAGCTAAAGATTGCTAACCTTGAATTCGTCCCATTCTGTTGCAATTACAATCGCATCAACGTTTCGAGACGCGTCGTAAGGAGAACGCGTGATTACAATACTCTTTTTTACTATTAGAATATTGCGAAAAAATTCATTAACCATAATATCACACTACTACTAACTAACTAATTAATTACCTTCGTCTGTATTATCCATCAACCCCGGTTCAGTCAAATCCAGAAATATCTGCTCATCCGCAACTTTCGGATCATATATACGAACTGTCGCCCGTTCCTGAATAAAATGTTTACATAATGTGATAGCGGCCGATTCCCGTGTATCGCCGGTATCCTTTTTGAATGCGAACCCGAGCAACGCAATTTCTTTATTTGTAATGGTGTGGAAGAGTGTTTTGATGATTCGTTCAACGAATCGCTTTTTTTGGTATTCGTTCAAGTCAACCACTTGTTTCCAGTATGCGGCGACTTCGGGTAAATTTAATTGTTCAGATAAGTAGACGAGATTTAAGATATCTTTTTGAAAACAGCTTCCGCCGAACCCGACTGATGCTTTTAGAAACTTTGGACCGATTCGTGCGTCACGGCCACATGCGTATGCTACTTCGTCAATATCTGCACCTGTCGCTTCACAGAGTGCTGATAATGCATTAATTGAAGAAATCCGTTGTGCCAAAAACGCATTAGCTGCCTATTTATTAATAAGTATTAATAAATACTTTCAAAGAGAACAATCGATAACGACAAATCGATAACAAACAAAAATCTTACTAGTTTTGATAATTCAGAGGACCAAAGATTCGTTGTGATTATGCGATCGGTTGACACCCAATTAGCGTATACTTCTGCTAATGCTTGTTGTGCTTTTCTGCCTTCTGGTGTTTGTAATGCACCAATCAACACACGATCGGGATATAGTAAATCTTTTATCGCAGTACCTTCAGCAAGAAACTCTGGATTCGATAGAATATCAAATCGAAGATTTCCCGTAGAATTTGTTTCTAGTATAGTACGCATACTTTCGGCAGTACGACACGGAACAGTAGATTTCTCAACTACAATTTTTGAACTTTTAGCGACCGAAGCAATGCCTCGAGTGGCAGATTCTACATATCTGATATGAGCCAAAATAAATATATAATGATATTATTAATGTGTCTACAATTGAAATACGAGATTTTATTTCAACTCACACTAAATCTGCAGCAAAACCAGCACCCATTCCACTCTTTTTCGTCGGTGTATTAACAGAGACAAAAATAAGGTCAGCCTCGTTAACAGCATCCTCAATCTCTGTAGTGAAAAACAAATTTTTCCCCCGTCTTTCAAACACCACTTCGTCAAGCCCCGGTTCGTATATTGGAAGTTGATGTGAATTCCACGCAGCAATGCGATCTGTGTTCAAATCGACAATAGTGACTTTTATGTGATGGCATTTATAAGCAATAACGGCACACGTAGGTCCTCCTACACAAGTCACAAAATGAAATGAGGAAAAAGAAACACATGTGGCAGCAAGCTTAACACAACATACCCACATAACCGGCTCCAATACAGCAAATATTCTTTACTTGAACCATTTAGAATGGGAAATAAATTGATAATATATGAGTTAAAACGAAAAAATGTAATAGTAATAAATGCGCTGCATTCATTCGAAAAATTATATTTGCACTACATATCGAGATTTTCCGAAGACGCGCCATAACAAAAAGTATAACGTAATCTAATGCAGATCTTTAATTAATTGTAAAATTTCTCAAACTCCACCACCACACAAGACAAAGCATGTCTGTTGGATCGCAACTTTACGAGTCGCTAAAGAAAGAATTTAATTCTCTTAATCCTAACCTCCAAAAATGTGGCACACATCTTGCAAAACTCAAGGTTTGATTTGTCTGTTAAAATACTCTTTCTATGTTATTTTGTTATCTAATGGTTCATTTATATTATAGATTTCTTTATCTGAAATGTCACTTTTGTTTCCTGAAGGTGAAATTCCCAACACAGAAGAATTGCTTATCGCACGTATGTTCAAGTTCATCTTGTCCAAATTTCCAAAAATCAAAAGACTTCGTCTAAATGTTCGGTTAATATCCAATTAAGGTGAAATCCTCGAAATCGGAGCATATTGGAGTGTCCAAGTGAAGGATATTCCATCCTTTGAACGTTACATTGCTCAATTACAAACATATTATAATGATTACAGGTATACATCAATAATCACAACCTCGACACCGCATCAGCACCCAGTTATTTCGACATGAATATCGCATTAAACTTCTTTATCAAAATAGTTCTCTATTGCCTCCATCCCCAAAAATGTACCCATTGATCGGTCTCAACCTACTTCGACTGCTCTCTCAGAATCGTATCGCAGAATTCCATACCGCACTAGAGAACATTGATCCACAACAACTCCTGGAGAATGTATACATTAAACATCCAGTACACTTGGAACAATATTTAATGGAGGGTAGTTACAATAAAGTGTGGAATTCGCGGGCTGAAGTCCCTGCTGCTGAATATTTATTCTTTATCGATATATTAATGGGGACGATCAGGTAATTATCTGTATACATGTATGAACTATGGGAAGATCTTTGAAGTCTGTTAATATTGTTTCTTTCCATAATTAGAAACGAAATTGCTAGCTGTAGTGAGAAAGCATATTCTAGTTTACCTTTGGCCGACGCAGAAACTTTACTTTTCTTTAACAACAGTCTTCATGAAGTAATGAACTTTGTACATGAGGTAAATCATATATTCTCATTATATGCAGAATTAAAGTATTAATTGATAATGTTAAATATTATTATTATTAATAGCGCGGTTGGGTGGTCAAGCCTGCTGAAAACAAAATATACTTTACGACAAAGGATGAGAATAAAATAGAAATACCATCGACTAGCATTATTCAAAATACGCTTAATTATGCAAGTGAATTGGAACAGATTGTATAATTTATACATCCTTGTTTTATTATAGATAGATAATAAATTAAAAACATGTTCATTATCTCTTTACAAGATTTGCATAACAATTATGCCGCTGATTCGAAACTGCATTTAATTCTCGATTTATTGTCAACTATTGTGTAATATGTAAGATTTAATTATGCTACCAACTTAACAACACCCCCGGCCTGTTTTATTTTTGCTTCTGCTCTGCGTGATACATATCTAGCCTTCACTATTACAGGTCGCGAAGGAAGACGACCTTTACCCAATACTTTCCCAAATCCCTTTAAGTCATTAATGAAAAAATATTTATGTTAATAAAATCACCACGTTAAGCTCTATAATAAAAATACTCGAAATCACATAAAACTTACAGCCTGAAGTGTATCAATCACCGGGGCAACATCTGTTCTTCCAGCATATTCTTCGCGTGTTTGCTCGGTGACTAGTGTCCATAGTTTATCGAGATTGACGACTGGTTTATGGAATTTGTTTTGAGTTTTGTGGAAATATCGCATACCAACTTTTCCGAAATATCCTGGATGATATTTATCCATGTTGGTTCGATGATGATGTTGACCACCGGCAAGACCACGACCTCCCGGATGCTTTCGATGCTTGCCTATTTTATATATTGTATGTGAATTGATCCTAAATAAACAATCAAAATCTATACAAACCAATGCGTCCATGGCCAGCCGAAACATGGCCTCGCTTCTTTCTGTTCTTCTTAAGTCTGGCAGTCTACAAAAAAAATGGTCATAATTAAACTTATCTTTTTTAAAATTGAAGAGTTATTTTGAGCAATAATTTTTTTGCATCAAAAAATCCACCTAATAATCCTTTTTTATTTGTATCAATCCATCGATGATTTTTTAACACCATTAAAATAAAAGTAATTACCATTTTTTAAAAGACAACGGGAATCTGAAGAAAAAGCTATATATATATATATATATATCGATATAAATTCTTTTATCAAAATTTTTTCTTCGATGACGTCACTTGTTGATCAATAAACATTGATTACTTTTTTTTACAAATTATCTTTACAAAATTATTCACACAATGAGGCCACTAACCAGGGACGAGACAGAAGTATTCTTTCAAAAGTTGGCGAAATAGTGGGTAATTTCGAGAAAATTACAGATCAAATTCTTTAAAAAGAGAATCTAATGAATACTAGTTTCTTAATATGAATTCTTGAATTTGAATTTTCTTTCAAAGTATCGGAAGAAATATTGCACATTTAATTGATCGTGCAGATGAGACATATTGCTTTAGATTACATAAAGATCGAGTGTATTATGTTAGGTGAGATGATAAATCAAAGGTTTTTTCAAAATTCATGGAATCTGATTTATTTTATTCATTTTTTTGCGATAAAGTGAATCGTTAATGCGACGCGCTACAAGTGTGGGCCGAGATCAATTAATGTCTGTAGGAGTATGTTTTGGCAAGTTTACAAAATCCGGAAAATTTAAACTTCATATAACGGCGTTGGATTATCTGGCGCAATATGCAAAAGTATTTATTTGGCAATTTATCACAATAAAACTATTATGAATATATATAATTTATCTTTTTTACGTAAAAAAAATCCAATAGTTCAAATTATGGATAAAACCCAATGGCGAAATGCAATTCCTGTACGGGAATCATGTAGCAAAAGCTCACATCGGAAGAATATCTGAGGATGTGCCGGAGCATCAAGGAATTGTAATGTTTTCTATGGCTGATGTTCCTTTGGTAATGAATCATGATATTTTTTTGAATTTGTGTGTTTAACCGATTTATAAACTAAATTCATTTGTGATAGGGATTTGGAGTCACAGCACGATCCACAGTTGACATACGTAAATTACAATCAACTGATATTGTCGCATTTCATCAAGCAGATGTTGGAGAGTATTTACGTGAACAGGATACTTTGTTTTAATAAATTTATTTAATTAGTATCTTGTATTTCAAATAAAGAATCGGAAAAAAAGAATTTGCAAGAAAAAACCAACTCTAAGTCATGTTTTTGATATGCACTCCTAACTTTTAATAAACACTTTTATTTATATCAATTTGGTATAAATACTGAATGGAAAGTATTACTATTGTTATAAGTCATATTTTACTATTTTAAATTATCAAATTCTTATTTGACAATTATATTAGAAATTCTTCAAATATCTGTTCAAAGATCTGTTTGAATATTAGTTCAAATGTTTGTTCAAATATTTGTTCAAATATTAGTTTGAAATATTAGTTTGAATATTAATTCAAAAATCAATTTTATTATTAATTTTATTGGTAATTTAATATTCAACAATTATTTATAAAAGAACAATGTATTATATAGTGCAAGACACTTAAAAACATCAATAAAATTAGTCATCTTTAAAGCAAAGGATCTTTATACAAAGATTATACAAAAAAAAAGAGGTTGATATTTTGTAACTAGATCTATTTATTACAAAATAGCGACCTTCTTTTTTTTGTATAATCTTTGTATAAAGATTCTTTGCTTTAAAAATAATTAATTTTATTGGCATCTTTAAGTGTCCTGCACTATAGCTTAAAAAAATCATCAAGTTTTTTATTGATCAAAATTATATTTATAATTTTATTTATAATTTCTTATTATTACTATAAAGTTATAATTATTATTATTGAACAAAGTTATAATTTTTTATTATAAATTTATATTTATTTAATTTGTTTATAATCTTTCATCTTAATTATAAAATTATGTTGAATAAAAAAATTAATATTTTACTTATTTATAAATTATTTAAAAGTTATAATTATATTTATTTTGTTAAAAAAAATTTCTAAATTCATTTTAGTTATTTATTTTTGAAAATAATATTATTTCTTTTATTTAATAGTTTTAATTAAAGATAAAATTATAATCATATATTACTTATTTGTTACTTATTATAATTTATAAATTTTAATTATAATTTAACAAAAATACTGGTAATAAACAAGTATTATATATTTGTAATATTATTTTTAATTTTAATTATTTATACTATTTTTTTATATTATTATCATTAATAACCTTTATGAATAAAGATCTTTACTATATAATAGGTAGTGATTATATTCACATGAAAAAGCGTGAAAGAATAAGCAAAGTACAAAATAATCTTCTAATACTATTATGTGTTAGCTAAAGTGATAAATAATTCATAAAGAATCAAATAAGTTCACTAAGAACTTTAAGAATAATATAAGTTTTTATAAAATATAAATGAGTTCACCAAGAACTCAAAGAATTATAAAAAATTGAATACAAAGTTCTTTAATATACAAGTATTACTTCATTAAGAAGCAATTTAGATTCACCAAGAATTTTTATTATTATTTAAGAAAAAAAATACAAAGTAATCAATTCTTCTGACAAACACACAGTAAGTCAGTTATTATATTTATTAAAGAATAAAAGCAAAAAATTTTATTAACACTAAGTTAATTAAAGATTATCTATCTTTCTAGCTAAAATACACGCTATATTTATAATAATTATTTATTACTTGATCTTTTTAATCTAGAACTAATCTATTCTATTTAAAATGAGACTTAATTCATTCTATAAATTATCTTGTGATGCTTATCTCAATGTTTCATACCTTTTGTTTGAGTGTAACTAAGGATGCTTGCCTAAATTCTTTTAGAAAAATATCGTCATAATTTCGATGGGTTACACACTAATTGTTAATTAGAATTTTGACATAATTTCGGTTACAACGGGTTTCAAAATTCGTCAGAATTTCAACAGGTTATTTACTAATAGTTTATTATAATTTCGACAGAATTTAGACAG